CGGACTCGCCGATTCACTGTTCGGACTCGCCGATTCCGTACAGTGAATCGGCGATTCACTGTACAGAATCGTCCGGTTCTCTCTAGAACCGGACGATTTCCAATTTTTAAGCGATCCGGTCCCATTTTCACGATTTTCGAGTCGAACCGGGCGAGTCCGGTTCGACTCGGCGTTTTTTAAAACGCTGGTTTCTACTATGTTAATACACTTAGTAATCTACTCGGTTCCCTTTGATGTTGTAAACGGAGTTCTTAGAACATGTTTCAGCACATAAGGCCTTGCATGATATGCTAGTATTGGGTTTCAAATAGTATGCTACCAATTCTTTAACCGCCAATATCAACAAGGAACGGTTGTGGTGTGTCTTTTATCTGTTCAAAGTCCTTCAAGAAAATGTTAGCATGTTTTCCATCAAATATTCTGATGAGCGTATTTCTATATTCCAAGATTGTCGCATTTATAAACTTTTTAAGAAATACAAACTTAAGGAAGGGAAAATGAACTACTTCCCCTTCTCCCAAATTTATTGGCCAAATAAACCCTTGGGTCCACCAAATTCATATGGAACCCATCTCACAGTTATCTATATAGGCCGATTACTCCCCTTACCTTTTTTGGTATTCATAAATGGAAAAGCTTTTTATGTTTCCCCTGCAACATAGAAGTTCTATGTTCTCCCTACTATCCAGCCGTCCATTTTTTATTAAGAGAGCCACTCACCATTTGATCTTAGAGACGTCTTAAAGTATTTTATTTTTAGTTTTTTCAATACAAATTTTTTAAATGTGAAATTTGGTATGTTTCATCTTTTCATTGGGGCGCATCTATAAAAAATATTAATAATAATTTTCGATAAAACATAATGACCAAAATACCCCTTGATACTTTCAGGGGTATTTTGATCATCTTATTTTATTGAAAAGTTAGTACGAGTTTAATATAAGAATGGACGACCAAAATTTAGTGTCAAAACAGTTTATAAAAAATAAATTAAAATAAAACAGTGTAGAGACGGGACATTGTGATTGGAGCAATATTAGCCCTCCATTAAAAAATGGACGGTTGGATAAGGGGGACATAGAACTCTTATGTTGTAGGGGGACATAGAAATAACTTATTTTTTACCCATTCTCTTCTATCTTTGCTCTTATTCCGTCTACGTCTCCGTCTCTTCACTCTTTTTCTCTCTTGAACTCACTCTTTCTCCCTTAGGCCTAGTTAAGCCCGAGCAGGCATAATACACCAAGAAAAGAGAAAAGAAAAAAATATAATAAAACAAGACCCGACTTGGCAAGCAGTGTTATGGCCCGGCCAACCCTTAGGCAATGCCCTAATTGTTGTAGAATCGGGATAACCCAATTACCTTTTTTGAGCAAATCGAGATATTTCAAATCCCACTAGATGTGGTGAGCACTCCACCACAATGATTTCAACGCTCAAATAACATGCCCCAGATGCAATTACAAGTGCAATATGAAAAATTACGTAGTTCATTCAAGATTGGACTACATCCAGGGGCAAGACGGCAAAAATATATTCACTATCAAGAGGAAAACTTACAAGAATAGGGTTACGTTGTTTCAATAGCATAAACCTTTTTTATGATCTGAAAAATTATTTTCATCTCTAATTATAAAATTGAAAGATTCAAAAATAGTGTAGATCAATCCAATATATTAAGACTTGAAATTTTAAAAAATTGACAGTCTACATAATACATTACAAGATGCACTATTTTCAAAACTTGAAATTTATTTTTTCTCATGTCCTTACATCTTGAGATCTAGATGATCAAATTGAGGATCTTTCAGTATCGAAGCGGCCTCTTCTAGTAAATTTTTGAGATTTTGATTGTTTGGAGCCTCACCCGTATATAAACTTCTTCTTTAGACGGAAGCTATTTTTCATTGATGTGATCTACCATCCCAATTTCTTTTTCTTTTTGGACGATGGGCAAAGGAAAGGACAATACTGTACGGTCTGGTCCACAGAGCATAAAATGCTTAATTTCCAGCATCTAACCAAAATTGGGCGGTGGAGATTCCATTTGGGAGGTTTTCCACATTATCATCCGTGCGATGCCCTGCATGCAATCCAAAATTTCAATTGTAAATAAAGCTAAAACTAATTGTGAATTGGTCATTTAATACTTGAGGTGACTTTTTCAGGTGTCCAGAATGCGATGGTGCAGGGTTCATAAGGAAGTCTGGTGCGACTCTAAGGGCAAATGCAGCCCGTAAAGATCAATCCCAAATCGTGTGTCCTCGTTGCAGTGGCTTGGGCAAGCTTGGTCAAATTGATAAGTAACCAAATCATGTAATTCTTTGAAGTGATGTCTTATATATCTCAATGTTCTTACAAATTTTTATTTATTGAATTATGTTTGCGGCCATATACTATGTTCCTGCCTGAGTTTTGAATTTTCTAATACCTAGATCTCATCTGCCCTTCAAACCACCAAAAATAAATAAATAAAAAATGATCCCGCCCCTCAAAAACTAGATGGTTTCTATTCAATCTTGAGGTATTATTTTTTCAAGACTATAAAAAATGGAATTTGGAAATTTATTTTATTGAGTATAGCATAGCATATAGGTTGAAGGGGTTTGGGTTCTAAAAATACTCCTAGATTGGGTTTTGCCTAAAGGAGTAAATAGGCAATATGCTCGCATTATGTTTTTACGATGGCGTGGGATGGACAACACTACCTCAAGAAAATAAAAGGCAAAAAGTGTAAAATAATAAATCCAAATAAAAAGAGCAATAAATGAGCATAACTCGTACATGTAGGATGATTTGAAGTTATTTAGACTTGTTTAAACAAAGAATTGTTTAAACATTTAAAATTGGCATTTTTTTTTCCCGTGTAATATAGCAGTGTCATCTGAGCAAAGTCACTAATTCAGCCATTTCGATATGAAATTGCTGAATGACTATTCAACCATCAGTCCAACTTTTAAAACACTAATTTAAATTATTTAATACAATGACCCAGTTTGTGTCGAATAAATGTTGACATATAAGTGCCGCCCTAAACAACCATTTGAAATATAAGGTAAAATGTCAAATGAAGCCCTTAACATTAGGCAAGATTTTCATGACAAAATGTCTCATGGTAACTTGGGTCCAAGTAGAGGTCAACCTATTCAGTATTATGGAGAAACGAGGTTACAATTCTACACAAAAATATTAGGTAAAGCTACATTGAGATGACTTCCATCAAATGTCATGGGGTGTAACATATTTATATAGATATTTCAAATATACTTTAATGGAATTGTATACCATGAAACCATTTATGTTTGATAAAAGGTCACAATTACTTACAACAGAAATCTGATAGCTTAGATGTGTCATGAAATTTCAAAAATAATTCTTTTAAAGTTTGAGCATGGTCAATGGTATAAATGCAAGCATCTTAATTCACATCCAATGGTCAAGATTAATTGTGACCATCTTGTACCAAAGATAAATGGTCTCATTGTATAACTTTCCTACTTTAATTAAGGTGCAACCAATTTCTCTCTCAGCTTCTCAAGCACTAAAAGAACCAAATTCATAAAGGATCGACTTTATATTATAGAAGTAAGCACCTTACAAGCCTATCCAAAAATATATTTGGTACTAAAAAAAAAAACTCCAATTGATCATCTCTACTTCGAGATATATAGTTATGACAAAAAGAAGAATTGGAATCCTATATGTAGTGTTTCTAATAACGTATTATATGGATAGTCCATGTTCAAGATTTCTAAGTGATTATAAATTTACTTTATATTTATTATTTTGAAGCTTTAAGTTTTATAATTAGGGACAAAAAAAGTTTTTTTGCTATTATATTGATTTTGGACTATAACTACATCTTTAAGCTAGATTCGGTGATGCGCCTTTGATTGATTGTTTGAGAAGCAAACATTGTTGTCAAAGTAATAGGTGAAACGGGGGCCATGGTATTTGGTTGAGGAAGATTTAAGAAAATACAAAGAAGGATGGTAAGATCTTGCTATTTTCAGCCACGCTAAAAAGGCTCTTTCGATGCAGTATTATGCCCTTTTAATGATAAAAAATCAGTGTGCAATTATCCCGATGACTATACAAAACAGTCCATGGGATATCTGAAAATAGAGGAACACATAATAATTTTGCCAATTAATGCATTGGAAAAGGTTAGTCTATAAAGCACCGCTGAAAATCGAAGAACACACAATAATTTTGCCAATTATTGCACTGGAAAATATTAGTCTATAAAGCACCAAAGTGGTCTCAATATAGATAGAGAAAGTGAGCATGCTCAGAATTTGTTGGGATATGGATATCTAGGGTTCATATTGATATACATCATTATGAATGTATATGTATTTATCTCTTGATAAGGTTAGATATCTAGAAGATAGTGACCAAATTATTTGGTCATCGAGTTATCATACCATAATTATCTATTCTAATTGTGTGATTGTCCTATATATATAGACATACTTCTTGATGTAAAGATTCATCCAACATAATGAGGATGTAGCCAGTTAGGCTTTGGATCCGAGGACGTAAGGCTTTGGCCCGAACCACGTAAATATTATGTTCTATCTTCTTCTCTCTCCATTCTATGCTCCCATAAATTCGTAAATATTGTAGTCTATCTTCTTCTCTCTCCATTCTATGCTCCCACATATTTGTAAATGTTGTGTTCTATCTTCTATCTCCATTTTATGCTCTCACAAATTCGTAAATGCTATGTTCTATCTTCTTCTCTCTCTATTCTATGCTCCCACAAATTCTAACATGGTATCAAAGCAAAATTTTAACATGTATGCGCATGCTTCTTGGCTCAGATCTGAGCTCGCCAACTTCAGATCTGAAGTCGGGAAATTTCATAGCACAGAAGAAAAATCTGATTTGCTCATCTCCCGGAACCCTTTGTCCACCGCAGAGAGTTTTCATCTCTACATTTTAGCCCTGGAAAACTTCCATCGGACTTGATACTGTCTCCGCCCTAAGAATTTGCCTTCGAAAGCCACACTTAGGTCTCTAGTTTTGTGAAAGCCAGTGGTTTCAACAGAAGTGGTATTGAGAAATCTGGTGGCTTTATGATGTTTATTATCTTTTTTTTAATCATGCCAGACGAACTGAGTTGATTGTGCTAGAAGATTTATTACAAGCATGTGTTATTTGGGAGACGTCTTGAGAGAGAAATTCTAATCTTTGGAGAAGCAAGGTGATAGAGAGAGAGGAGTAATTATTTGATGAGAGCAAGAGGGGGAAAAGATGAGGAAAAAAAAGGTTCAATTGCAAAAGTTGGAAAAACTTATCAAATATTGAATTATGATGATCATGCAAAAAAAAAAAATGGGTCATATTTTTTTTACGATGTGGGCTATTGTCTAGAAGTCCAATTTCATTGGCATTTTTTTTTATATGATTGTACTCAAAAGGAAAAAAGAAAAAAAATTGTATTTTACAAGTTGGGTGTTTCTTTGCATCCACACCCAACTTGAGGGAGAGAGTATAGGAGATATGGAGATGAGATGAGTAGAGATGAACTCTAATTTAACAGCTAAAGAAAATCCATATTCTGGCTCAGTCAAACTACTATGCAAAGGGAAGTTATTGTCATATTGATTCTAGAGTTCTAGTCTCCAGATGAGAAGATAAAGATGATCGAATTTCTCGATCGAAGTCGATGATCAAGAGTTCCGTCTCCAGATGAGGAGATGAAGATGATTGAATTTCTCGATCTTGATTGATGATCAAGTTTTCTGTTCTTTTATCTTGTTTGATGATGTAGTTTTCCGTTGCTCTATCCTATGTGATGATCGTCGAGTTTTTCGTTACTCGATCTCGGATGTTTCGAAGAGAGAGAAAGAAAAGTCATTTTCTTTTAGAGAGAGAAAGCCTCTAGAAAAAAAGATGCCTTTGAAGAGAGAGATCTTCAGAGAAACCTCTAAAGAGAGAAGATCTTCAGAGAAAAAAGTAGAGAGCCCTAAAAAGGTTGTTTCTTGGAAGACCCTAGAGAGAGAAAGTCTCTAGAAGAAAGTAGAGAACCCAAGAAAGGAGCTCAAGAAAAGTTGTTTTTGGAAGACCATGGTAACATGTGATTTTTTTGGCAATTTAGTATTGTTCAAACTCGAGCTGCTTTGTATCAAAGCATCTTGAGTTTGAGGGGGAGTGATGGGATATGGATATCTTGGATTCATATTAATATAGGTCATTATATGTATATATCTCTTGATAAGGTTAGATATCTAGAAGATGGAGACCAAGTTACTTGGTCATCAAGTTATCATACTATAATTATCTCTTCTAATTGTGTGATTGTCCTCTATATATAGACGTACTTCTTGATGTAAAGATTCATCCAAAATAATAAAGATGTAGCCAGTTAAGCATTGGATCTGTGGACGTAAGGTTTCGGTCTGAACCACGTAAATGTTGTTTTCTATCTTCTTCTCTCTCTATTCTATGCTCCCACAAATTCGTAAATATTGTGTTCTATCTTTTTCTTTCTCCATTCTATACTCCCACAAATTCTAACAAGAATAAGGTTCTTACTGTTGATAATCTCATTAAGAGGGGTAAGATTTTATCAAATATATGTCTTATGTGCAAGGATAATGGGGAGTCTAACGATCATCTGTTTCTACACTGCTCATTTGTTGTGAGAATTTGGTCTTAGTTCATTTCTCAACTGGGGGTTAGTGTTGGTTAGCTCTTACAAAAGAGGATAAGGGTATCTCGAAAGTTGATGCTTATATTAATCTTAACAATCTGTTTAGAATGGGAATGGTTAAATGTCGCTCGAGGTTGCTTTGGGTTATGCTTATATTAATCTTAACAATCTATTTAGAATGGGAATGGTTAAATGCTGCCCGAAGTCGCTTTGGGTTGCCTCATCACAACGAAGTTTCAAATTTAGTGTTGATGGTAGTTCTCTGGACAATCCTGGTTTGGCAGGCATTGTAGGTGTTCTTAGGGATTAGAATGGGTCTACAATATTTACCTTTGCTGGTCTCAATGGCACAACGACGGTTAATCACGCTGAAATCCTTACTCTTTTCCATGGTCTTAAGATTTTCATATCTAAGAATTTGGGTGGTGCTTGTATTATGGTGGGGGATTCTTTGAATGTGATCCCGTAGTGTAATAGGGAGCAGCGAGTACCTTGGGAGTTGAGGTCTGTCTGGCTTCAATTGTGGATTTGGCAAAACCTCTCATGATTTTCTTTCAATATGTTTATAGGGAGGCCAATGCAATGACTGATTCGCTCGCCAAGAGTGTATTGTCTTTTACCCACCCTTTTCATTTCTGATGATATAATTGATCCATTGTAACCGCTCTCCATTAAAAATTTTTTTAACATTTGTGAAAAAGAAGTGAGCATGATTTATGTACGTCTAATCTATTTGAA